TCCCAGCTCCCACGGCTGCAGCTGCAGGCCGGGAGGAAGGTGGGCTCCGCCTCCCCGGGCCCGGCGCAGCGAGGAGCAGCCCGGCTTGAGATGACCAGAAGCGCTGCTGTCCAGGACGGCGGCCACCAGGGAGCGGGCCGGGGCCGAGGCTGCTCCTTGAGGAGGGCTCGGTGCCTGCAGCTGTGGTGTTTTTCCTCCACGGGATCCTGCCTCGTTCAGCGGCCGGTTGGTGGTAGTTTCTGAACCACTGTTTACTTGACCGTTCCCCCCCGTGCCCCTCATTGTATGTGCTTTATAATCCTGCACCCCCTTTACACCCTGCGCCAGATAAAAACTTCTGTAATTTACTCCTGGGGTTTTCTCTGATCTTTGTTCCCGTTGTTTTTGAAGGTCTGGAGCACATTCATAGGTGCCACTCAGCATTTTATTGGTGATTCTCCACCTGTGAAACAGTTAGGTAGCACAAAGAGATTGAGGCTAAATTATGAATTGCTGGTTCCTTTGGGTGCTCATTTGGAGGTATTTCAAATTTTTTTTCTTGAGCGCAAGCATTTTGAGTACATTTTTGTGAGTACAAACCTGATGATCTTGCAAGGTCCCTTCCAGCCGTAATGTCTATGACATTTTTGTAGCAGTTAACAGTCAGAAGGAAAAGCCTCTGTGCAATTGAGACCGGTGTGATCAGGTCTGCAAACAAGAGGTTTGACGTCCAGTTCCACATGCAGCCTCCTTTCTGGCAGTCGCTAAGCTCTGAGTACTTGCCTCTGCAGTTTGAATGTTATTTATTTCACAAGTTGTTCTTTATTTCTTTTTTTAAGTAAAAAGAAAATCTCTTAGATGATACTGACTCCCACATGAATCATCAGCAGGGCTGGGAGCTTGACCCTACAGACTTCTACAATACGATGAAGTAGCTGGTAGCTGTAGCAACCTGTTACCTTCCGGATGCTAAATGGAGCTCTCATATTTTGTCAGTGAGATTCACAGCTATTTTCCAGGCAGAAAAATACTGAAGCTCCAGATCCTTGGTTCATTTCAATGTTCTGGAGAGGGTTATGCATTTTTTTTCTATGAATGTCCTTGCTCTGCTCACCTTTGCTTATGCTCTCTTTCTAGCCTACACCCAACCCAGGAGCATAACTAGGGGTGGGCAAGTGGGACCCAAACCCTGGGCCCTGACAGAGAGGTCATGTCAGAATGTAACAGGAGCAGGAGCAACAATGGACACCTCCCTCACTGCTTTCTGGTAGGGTTTTGTTCAGGGTGGAAAACTTTCATGCTGCAGGCAGGGACATGCAGGCTGCAGATCACGGCTTTGCCCCGGGTCCTTGCAGCAATGGCAGTGTGGTCTGGAGCAGGGGCAGAGCCATGATCTGCTGCCTGCACACCACTGTCTGGACTGTGCATGCTGCAGATTGCAGCTCTGCCCTGGCCCTGACCAAGCTGCTTCTGCCACAAGATCCCACTGGCTCTGGAGCAATCCCTGCCCTGCTGCACTCCCTGCCAGCATGGCTGGGGCTGGTCTTCATGGCAACCCCTGCCTTGTGCTATCATGCCTGGGGTCTCCATGGAGCATGGTCTCCCAGCCATGCAGGCAGGAGCTGCTGGGAAATGGAGTCCAGTTGTTAGCCAGCTCCATCATTTTGCCCACCCCACCCCACTAGCTATGCCTAGACCATCTCCAACCAGTGGTTATCCAACCTCTTCTTGAACACCTCCAATGATGGAGAGTCCACAGCTTCCCTCAGCAGTCTATTCCAGTGTTTCCGAACCTTTTCTAGCCCAAGGCACGCTTACATTAATAAACGTTTTCTGCAGCACACCTGTTAAGGCGTTCTCCATCCTCATACCTATTGTAGCTCATTACCATGGCAAAATTCCATGGCATACCTGTTCATTTCTGACTACACACTTTTCATAGATTTCAGAGACATTGGGGCTGGAAGGGACCCCACAGGATCATCAAACCCAGCCCCCTGCCAGGGGCAGGAAGTCAGCAGGGATCATAGGATCCCAGCAAGGTAAACATCCAAATGTGTCTTGAAGGTGTTCAAAGTGGATGCTTGAACCACCCCCGGCGGCAGTCGATTCCAAACTTTGGGGGCTCAGACAGCAAAGAAGTTCTTCCTTATGTCCAGCCTGACTCGGTCGCAGAGGAGTTTGTGACCATTCGATCTTGTCATCTTTTGGGGCGCTCTGGTGAACAAACATTCCCCCAGAACCTGGTGGACACCCCTGATAAACTTATAGGTGGCCATCAGATCGCCCCTGAGCCTGCACTTTTCCAGACTGAAGAGTCCCATGGCTCTCAGCCTCTCATCGTAAGGTCTGTTTTCCTGACCTCTGATCATGCGCGTGGCTCTCCTCTGCACTCTCTCTAGCTTCTCCACATCCTTTTTGAATTGTGGAGCCCAAAACTGGATGCAGTACTCCAGCTGTGGCCTCACCAAGGCCAAGTACAATAGGAGAATGATATCCTGGGATTTGCTTGAGAAGCATCTATGGATGCAAGCCAGTATTTTGCTTTCTTTACTAGCTGCAGCACACTGGTTGGGAAACCGTGGTCTATTCCACTGCCCCAGTATTCTAACAGTGAAGAAGTTTTTTCTAGCTATCCAATCTAAACTAATTTTGCTGCAACTGCAAGCCGTTGGTATACCTCATGCTGCAGCAAGAGAGAAAAAGTGTTCTCCCTCCTCTTAATTGCAGCCCTTCAAGTATTTGAAGACCACTATCATGTCCCATCCTTTTCTGCAAGCTGGACATGCTTAAATCCTTCAGCCTCTCATCATATGATTTGCTTTCCAAGCCCTTTATCATCTTTCTTGCCTGCCTGTGGACCCTTTCCAACTTCTCCATGTCCTGATAAAATGTGGAGCCCAAAACTGCAAACAGTACTCTAGATGAGTCCTAACCAATGCAGAGTAGAGAGTCACCATCACCTCCCCCATCTTGCACCTAATTCTTCTGTGGATACATCCCAAAACCACATTTGCTTTTTGTGCTGCTGTGTCACACTGCAGATGAGTCTGTAATCTACCAAGACTCCCAGATCCTTTTCCATAGTGTTGCCATTCAGCCAGGTGTCACCTATTTTGTATTTGTGTTTTTGATTATTCTTCCTGAGGTCTAGTACCCTGCACTTGTCAGCATTGAACTTTATTCTGTTAGCTTCAGCCCAGCTTTTCAATTTCTTGAGATCCTTCTGAATTGCCCTCACAATCTTCCATGTTCACAGTCCTTCTCAGTTTCATGTAGTTCACAAACTTTCTCAAAAAGCTTTATATGCAAGTATCCAGGTAATTAATAAATACATTGAACAGCATCTGGCCCAGACTAGACTCCCTGTGAGATTCCACTCAAAGCCTCCTGCCATTCTGACATGGACCTGTTAATTTTGTGGCCTTTGAACCAGTTTTCTGTCCACCTTATAGCAGTTTTGTCTAGTAGCCCACATTTCTTCAATTTGTTTACAAGAAGCTTGCGGGGGGGGCCTTGTCAAGAGCCTTCTGAAGTCCAGATATACTATATCCACAGTATTCCCTTCATCCACCCAAGTAGTTACTTTTCCAAAGGAGTTTAAGTTTTTTTTGCCACGATTTGTTTTTCATAAATCCATGTTGGCTACTTGCAATCAGCCTTTCCTCCTCCAGATGCTTTCCAGTGAACTTCCTTAGGATATGCTCCAATAACTTCCCAGCTATTGAGGTGAGGCTAATCTCAGGTCCTCCCTTTTTTGTTGTTTCTTTTTCCTTATTTTTTTTTCTTAAGAGGGGCACTACATTGGTCCTTTTTCAGTGCTCTGGTACCTCACCCGTCTCCCACAACTTCATGAAGATCATTGCATTGCCAAGGACTGTGAGAGTGCCTCTGCCAGTTCCTTCAGTACCCTGGGATGTAGTTCATCTGGCCCTGCTGACTTCAATTCATTCAGACCCATCAAAAGCTCTCTGACAGTCTCTTATATTATCTCCTCCCTCAGCTGGCCCCCTTCTTTATCCAAATAATCCTTATTAGGTGCCTTGCTGTAGCTTAATTTTTTTGTGAAGACTGAGGCAAAATAGCTGTTATGTAGCTCTGCCTTCTTTGTATCTTCTGTTAAGAGTTCCCCTGGGTAGTTAACAGTGGATCCATAGTGTCCTATGTGCCCCTAACTTTGATATGGAGCATACTTGGTTTGACTAGTATCTAGGAGTGGTATGGGAAGGAAGTATACTTGACACAGGCAGAAACTTCATAGAATAATACTGTATGCTTTTGCAAATTTCTACTAATTGTGAATGAACTGAAGTTTTTCAGACTCTTATAATTTATCCAGACTTGGCAGATTTTCACTGCAAAAGCAGAAAGGTGGACCCCTGATACAGTAGCAGCATTTTTGCCAGTCTGCAGAGCATGCAAGTAAAAACTTCTCAGATCATTGCAGTATTTTTAAAGGAACAATATAACATTGTTCCCTAGTATTTCTTGGTAATAACTAAGCTGTTTTCACTTAATGTTCTAAAATTTCAGCTTCCAGCAAGCACCCTGCATAGAATAGTTTAGCTCAAAAGTTTACATTTTGGCACAGTTATAAGAAGCTAAGAATGAGTTTTTATAATAGAAAGTGTTAGGCAGTTGTGGCTATTGATGTCTAAATGTACCAACCGGTATAAGGGATGAAGACAGTAGGTAGAAATTTTTTTAATTTGACTTGAAATTTCAATTTACAGTAAAGATGTAGTCTCATGCTTTTAAACAGAGCTGTACTTACTGTTATAAACTCTGCTGGCTCTTACTCAATTCTGAAGTTCTTTCCACAAGTTAAGTCTTACTTTCTTCTGAATGCAACTATGAAATGCGAAATATTAACATGAACAAAAGGTGTGGATTTTTAAATACTGTCCATGTGAATCATAGTTATATAGATAAAACATGATATTTTACCCTTTGCTTATGATTCTTCAAAGTAGGTAGGATTTGCAACAGCAGTCTTCTCACACTCCTGGCTATCTGAATCCCAGATTATCAAAAAGTTTCAGATGTCTTCCGCAACTTTCATATAATTTGGGTGCCCATACCTGTTGAGTGTACTATATCTATTATAGTGCCTGCATATTAAGTGTAGCTGGCAATTGATGTAAGCAACCTGTTGGATTGGGAAGCTAGGTAGAAGAGGATGGATCCACTGTAGTGGTTGGCCTGCGCAACACTGAGCTGTATTAGTGGAATGGGAAAGAATGTTGACTTATGGCACAGGGAGTAAGAAAAAAGTAAGTTTAAAGCTATTTTAGCTATTGTAATGAGTCTACCAAGTCTCGTCTAGGATGAGGTTTGTCTGAAATTTTCTAAGTCTAACTCTGCTACACCCCCAAAGTTCCTGCCTATGGAGTATTGGTACCAGTGTATACTAGCTCCTGGTGCTTTTATCTCTGTGGTCTAACAGAAATAAAACAACATGGGGGGTGGAATCAGTGGCTAGTTTAATATAGTACTTTGCATTTGATAGTACTAGTGGAGCTGAACTCTTGCAGCTGTATTAGTGCAATGGTACCCAACCTTTTTGTCCGTGGAGCCAGATGGGCAGTGGGCAGTTCCTCTGTGGGTCAGATCTAGCTGGTGAATGCAGTCTGGTGCCTGGGGCTTGCAAAGCACAGCCACATCTGACCACACAGGAGTGAAGGGGAGGGGGATCGCAGTCTGACCCCGATCCGGCCATGTAGAGAAAGGGGGTGTGGCCTGGCATTGCGGGAAAAGGGGTGAAAGCTAGCCCTAACTGGACCACATGTGAAGAAGGGGGCTTGGCCTGGCCCTGATCTGTCCACGCAAGGAGACTTTTGTGGCCCAGCTGTAACCCACTGCGTGGGGCTGGGGATTTTTGGCAGTGTGGAGAGTGGTACTAGTAACTGCCACTGCTCCCCCGCTGCCAAATTTCCCTACCTGTGGGGAGCACCACAGACCAGATTCCAAGGCTCTGCAGGCTTGCATTTGGGCCATGAGCCAGAAGTTGAGCACCCCTGTATTAGTGAGAGAGCAGTAGCTGAAGAATAAAACCATCCGTCTAGAACCAGTCTTCATGACCTTGTAGCAAAGGAAGTTTCAGAAGTGGGTAATCTAGCAGCAGAGAAGCTGTAGGATTAACAATGGCTTTTATCTGTGGTAAACTACTGTCTTTAGTGAATTTTATTGATCTGTACTTCAGACAGAAAGAGAGAGAGAGAGATGTCCCTCGACTACCCAGTTCATTTACCCATTTCATATTAAACTAACTGTTTCCTGAGGCTGGGACCATTATTAAATTATTGTTACGTAATCAGGAATATTTTTCGTTCAATAAATTGTGACCATGCTTTGTGCTCTGCCCTTATCCCTGTATCTTGTGCCCAGATCTAGATTATGGTTGCACTATCCGCTCCACAAAAACCTTGTCTTTGCTTGCAATCAGGAGCCCCTCCAACAATCAGGTTCTCAAATTGTGGTCTACAGGCATTCCAACAAGAAATAATAGTTTTCTATTGATTTTTCTCCTTTATTTCCAGCAGATGAAAAATACACCAAATTCTTTCTCATAATGATTTCTCTGGGAAGCAACTGCTATCATTACTATAGGCAGGTTCAATGGTAATGAGAGAAGATCCACACAATTTCATATAGAAGGAGAGGTATCTATAATATAGTTTCTAAATTGTTTGGTTTACGGTATAAAAAGGTTTGAGAGCCTGTTTACTACTCTGTGGTGGTTGATTTATAATATCACTAGGGATCAGATGAGTGATGAGCAACATTTTTGCATGAGGTACAAGTGTAGACTTTTTTTTTGCATGTGGTTTGAATAGAGCAGGGGTGTCAAACTCATCTGGCCTCATAAGCTGGACACAGGGTCCAGAGTTGGTCTGCAGGCTGGATTGGGTGCACAGCTAGGCCCCACATTCTGGGACCAGCCCTCAGGTCTAGGCTGGTATGGACACTGCATGCAGCGCATGCCCTGCACCAGTTGTGCTGCTTGCAACATGAGTGCCAGCCCCAGCCCAGTACTGTGCATTCAGCACATGGGGCCAGTCTGGCCAGGTGTTACACATAGTGTGCACTACGTGTGGCACATGGGGCTGGTCTAGGGTGTGTGCTGCATGTGGTGCCTGTGCCAGACTGGCTCCAAGCACTGGATCCAGCACAGGTGGCCTGTGTGTGGGCCTGATCTGGATTAGCTTCAGATCTAGCATGCAGGGTTAGTTCAACACAGGCACCATGTGAAATGCCCAACTCAGACCAGTCCTGTGCTGTATACAGCCCACATCAGATGGGTTCCACATGGAGCACGTGAGGGTTAGAGCCAGCGCTGGCTGCATGCTTCAGGTAACACTGCAGGCTGAACGATACTGGTCCACAAGCCAGGTGAAGCCTGTCAGCCATATCTTTGACATCCTGGAATAGAATAGCGTGTTTGTTTCGCTCCCTTTTCCGATTCTTATGACTGTCTGCCGTTGGGCCAGAAACTGTCTGTAGTGGTTGAATTTTAAGACCTGTCAAGAATCTGTATTGGTGGCCAGCAACCTTTATAATCTGTAGGCCAGAACAGGTCGGCCCCAGACTGGCACAGACTGGGTTGGCTTTGGTGCATCAGCATTTGGGGAAAGCAGGGCGGGGGGCATGGTTTGCCTGTGCCCTCACTAGGGCCAGGCACTGCTGCTGCTTCTCCCAATTTCCCCACCACCACTCTCTGGCTGGGGCATGAGCAGGGTGGATTTGATTTAAATTGCATCGATTTAAATCACTGGTCAGGAAGCCTTGATTTAATCTATGTTTTCCACAAAAAGCACATTCTTGTTCATTGATATCCTTTATTCATTTAACTCAGTGGTTGTCAGTCGGGGGTACACGTACCCCTAGGGGTACTTAAAAAGGTTGTAGGGGGTATGCAGAACAAATGAGAAAAAATTACTGTTTTATAGAGGTGTACCGGTACATCAGTCCCGTGTTGGATCAGCACCAATATAAGGAAAATTGACTGTATCAGCAATCGGCTTTTTTTGGTTGATGTGGCCGTTAACATGGCCAATAAATACCCAGTGCATGCGCGCAGCTGCAATGCAGCACGCAGGTGGCCAGGAGCGTAGCTCAGCAGCATAGAGAGCAGCTGGGTCTGGTTGGTAAGTCTGTTGTGAGGGAAGTGGCGGGGGGAGACTGAGGCCACAGCAGTGAGGGAGGAAGTGGGGCTGGAGCTGGGGCTGGGGCAGGGGCAGGCGCTGCACAGCCAAGGTAGGGCACAGGACGGAGCCACGGCTCGTCGGGGGGGGGGGGGCATATCTCCTGCTGCTGCATACACTTCAGGAGGGCATATGCGAGCTGTGTGCCCCTGGATCTATGCACAGGGTGAGGGCAGGCTGCTGCTGTGGGCTGGAGCCAAGGCAGCACCGGGCTTTTCCCAGCGGAGGGCCTGGGCCTGGGGCTGCACTCAGGGCGGGCAGCCGTGTGGGGGAGGGAAGGGGCATCTGTTGAATGCACCCCTGGGGGAGGCATGAGGGGCATGTGCCCCCCAGATTTTTGTGCAGGGCGAGGTCAGGCTGTGTGCTATGGGCTTGGAGCCAGGAGCTGTGCTGGTTTCTTTCCAGCAGAGGCTGGGTCAGGGCTGTGCTCGACGGGCACGGAGGTGGTGGGGTGGGGTAGGTGGGGGCGAGCTACAGCCACCCCAAAATTCGCCATAGGGCCTCCCTCCCCTTGCCCCCCAGCAGTAGCTTCCCCTCCCAGAGCTGTCACCACCTGTCCTGGCCCCACCCACCCCAAACACAGCCCCATCCCAGCCCCCGCCAGGAAGAGGCCAGTGCAGCTCCCCCATGCGTGCCCTTTCCCCACACAGATTTGGGGGGGCACATCCCCCTGTGCCTACCCCAGTGAGGTTTGCAGCAGTGAGAACTGCCCCCCAGATGAGCCATCTGTGGCTCTGTCCCCTGCCTCAGCCTGACTGGGCAGTGCCTGCCCCTGCCCCTGCCTCAGCCCCACTCCTGCCCTCACTGTGGAGGCCTTGATCTGGCCCCTCCACACAGGTTTACTGCCCAAACGCTGCTCTCCAAGCTTCCGGGCTGCATTCCTGGCTGCATGAGTGTTGCAGCTGCACGCGTGCACATGGTATTTATCGGTGACATTATCGGCCACATTGGTCAAAAAAAAGCCAATTGCCGATAACGTCAATTTTCCTTTTATCGGTGCCAATACAATATGGACCAATACATCAGTGCACCTCTAATGGGCATAGCTGGAAGCAGTAGTGCAAGTACAACTCGCTGCCTAGCACTGGCACCTGGGGGCTTAGGCAGTATGTTACCAACCCCTGATCTATGTAATTTGGTATAAATTAGTACATTTCAGATGCCAGAATTGTTGTTCTTCACAAGCATCTTTGAGCCAAGGTGAAGTTGTGCCTGACATAGATGTGGCAATCCCAAGGGAATGTGGTCCTTTAGAGCTCATGGAATTTCACCTTGCCCGTCAACTCAGACACAGGGGTGTAAGTAATAGCCTGGTTGCATAGTTCAAGGTTTTTAAGAGGCACAGCTAAATTTAGGGTTCTAAATTCACATTTTAAATCAGGCCATTGTTCAGGTGTTTAAATTAACACAAGTTAAAATGAAACTCATCCTGTTTGCATCATTAGCAGCTAACACTTTTTTTTTATAATAGAGAATTCTCCTTTTATATCTATTTTAAACAAAATGTTGCCATAGCAGGAGGCTTTCCAAAAGTAAACTGGATATAGCTGAGGAACTGTTGTTAGTTGTGAGAGAGGTGAGCATGCAGAGTGCATTTAAGGACTGACGAGACTTTCTGGTATAAGCTGGGAGTTTTTTTGGAACAGAGGAGGGAAGGGCTTGTGAGTGTGTTTGTCAGTGAAAGTATGATTGAGTCACTAATGGAAAAGACTAATGTGATCCTAACATGTCGAGCAAGGTATTTCCACTAGAGATAGGAACTATTAAGGCATTGTGCAAGGTACTGGTGAGATCGCATCTGGAGTACTGGATACAGGTGACCAAACTGTATACAAGAAACATTCATTTAAATCAAGGCAGGTTTAAAAGTCCTACTAAGATGGTTGGGGAATGTAGAACTTATTTTCTGAGAGGAGACTAAAACAATTTTACATGTTTAGCTTAGGGGATGTGATTTCTTACCATGTTGGAGGTAACTGACAGGAAGAAAAAAAAACTATAAAGCTAAGGCTTTATAGTTGGCACAAGAACAAATGGGTAAGCTGGCCATGAATATACACTGGAAATTAAAATATTTCTAACCATAAAGGAGAGAGGTTCTGAAACGGTCTTCCTTTAGAAGTAGCAAGAGTTTGAGGGAGAAGGGGGAACGGTTTTAAGATAAACTTGATCAAGATATGAACAGGACATATTTGCCTGCAATAGCAATGAGTTACACTTGATGATGTAGGAGACCAGTTTTGATCCTGTGTTCCTGTGACTTCAAGAATGTCATTATGTATTTTCAATGAAAAAACTTGAAGCATACTGAAAGCATTAAGAGCAGCCCAAAATAAATGAAGTAGTGTTCAATACTGCAGAAAGGCCCAAAAGAAAGGGAATAGTTGTCTGCCCTCTGTCCATTAACAACATGCTGGTATCCACAGTGATCAATAAGTCCTTGGCAAGAAGGATCAAGAGCTCAGTTTTGCCCGTTTTGAATTTGAAAACTGAGCATTCACAAAGAAATGTCTAAAGGGATCAAGATGGTGGTTTGGATGGTGAAAGAGATGTTATTAATAGAAAATCTTTGTACCGCATTTCTAAAGAGTAGGAAATAAAGCAAAAGATGATGGAGGGCTGTGGTTCTCCTCTGCCATTGCTTTCGGATGTTAAATTCTGGGACGATATGGCTGTTGAGCATTGTGCACATTGCTTTGCGAGGGTTTCTGAGCTATCTTGCCAAACACTAAGCATATTTTAATAAGCATGAATTTTATAGGTAATCAGCTAGAAAAAACTTCAGTTACAAATTGGATTTCATGAGTCTGCTGTCAAAGTGCTCCAGTGCTGCGGCTTTTGCCCGGAGCTTTCCAACAGTTGCAAAGAAAAAATAAGTGTTGTCTCTTAAATTATAGTTATTCAGAAATATTTGGGTAGTAGTACAGTTCGGAAACACATCATTTCACTCTCATTGCTTTACAAATAAATTGCAGGAGCCCAGAGATAAGCAATGGTTATGTTCTTGATGGCGAAGGATCCAAAGGATGGTGACATATGGAGGGATATTGGAGGTGAATCATTACAAGTGAAGAACCAGTGAATCCTTGATAGAAGAATTTAAATTCAGGAGTTGAGGAGATACTTTTTTTCATTTTTGGCAGTTGAAGACATAACCTGGAGGCTTTATATTTTATCAGAATTATACTAGCTACAGGGCTTCATGTGAAAAACAGCCTACAAAGAGGATTCTGGGACAATTAATTCCCTTTAAGAAATCCTAGCCATCTCCATCTACCCTACCTGGGAGTTACCTTGGTTTCTCATCAAGCATTAACCATGGAATGTGTTGACAACAGCAGCACCCTCTCTGATCTAATCTTTCATTCAGACTGGTTTACTGCTTTGGCAACAGGTATTTGAATGTTTCAAGATTGTCTAACTTCAGTGAATTATGGAGGATGAATAACATAACCAGTGAGAGGTATGTTTATCTGCAAGCAGAAATTATCTAAAATACCTCAAATAGAGAGCAGTTGAGGCAGTATTTTGTTACTGCACAGTAAATCTGACAAAACTTGAGTTAGTTTGGTATTTATAGTGTCATATTGCTAACAAATATTAGACTATTCATAAAACAAATATTTTTCTCCCTTAAATTTATAGGGCAGGAAAACCTCCACCTGGCCTTCATTTGGATGTTGTGAAAGGAGACAAACTTATTGAGGTATGAAAATAGATGCAGTAAGTATTTGATGCATGCTGTAGGAAATGTGTATGTAGAATTAAATCCCATTGCTTTGCTTCCTCATTCTCTTCCTCTTCACACACCCTTCCTTCTCAACCATACATTAATTTTTTTTTATAAGCAGTGATGCAGTAACTCCCAAACCTTTTACTACAGATAGGCAGGCATAAACTTTAAACTGATTTTGCTGAAGCACAGTATTCCTGTTGTGCGTGTGCTGTGGATCCCAGTCAGACGGCTGTGCTGTGTGTGTTATCTAGAAGGTGATTGAATTTGCTAATTAAAGAGGTATAAAGCTGGAGTGGTTGGGTTCAGTTACTTCAGTAGGGTATTCAGATCCTAAAGAAACAAACTACAGTGATGACAAAACCTACACATGCATCTAAATTTTAAAAAGTAATGAAATTATTTACAAAAAAGAAAAATTACTTTATGTAGATCCTTATTTGCCAGATTTAAATGGCTTGTACCAGACTAAATAGTTGTTTTCTTTCTTGTTTAAATAAGGCTGGGGAGCCCAAATTTAAAATCCAAATAATAGCATTAAAAAGACTTATTCTGAGCTGCTTGTTGCTGGAATATGTTACTTCGGTTTGCTTTTTAATTTTATTTTACAATAAAGATGATGTTTTTACCTTGTTCATCAATGAGAGCAAAAGATTACAAAGCAGAGGGAGACAAAGTAATAATGATAAAAAAGAAATTCAGCATTTAAAAATAAACATGAGACTAAGTGAAGATAAGCCAAAGATGCTGAAAGTCTCTAGTCCAGTGGCTCTCAATCTTCTTAAATTCAGGGACGTCCCCATAGCTTTTCTAAATTTAGTGGCACCCTAGTTGAGAACAAATATTGTACTGCTTCAGCTTACCTTTTGCTGGGTACTGTAATAACTGCTGCTGCCAGGTGAAAGTGCCCTATGCATGTCCTGTGGAGTGCAGAGCCTGGCCAATATTTTATTCCATAAACCTAATGCAGGCAGCCTGCTTCTGCTGCAGTATTTCCTGGTCAGACTCCACACAAGGTGCACTGGGCACTTCCACCTGGTTGTGGTGGTGCTGGCACCACAGCACCCTTGCAAGGGGCTTGCAGCGTCCCAGAGTGCAGTGTTGCCCTTGTACAGAACCACTGCTCTAGTCACAGATTTGTAAGTGTGTCATGTTGCAGAAACTTAAGCCAGGCTGGAAGAAGCACCCTGTGTGAATGCTGTTCCTTACTGCAAAGGTTCCCGACCACCGGACTGCGAAGGCATGGCTGCTGGTCCTTGGTATGCTGGTCACTTCTGGTCTACAGTTTGCTGGTCCACAGTATAAAAAAGTTTGGGGACCACTGCCTTACTGGGAGAGCCTTCTTATAGTTTATGTTGGTAGACTTCCAAAGCAGATGAAACTGAAGCAGAAAAGGCATTCTTAATTTTGAATAGGTGTCCACATAGGGAGTAATGTAGTGTAAATACATTACTGTATTTTACATTCATACCCTAGTTTTTTTTTTCAGTAAGTTTCTTGAACAGACAAGCTATCACTCTTCAGGTTCTTTTTATCACATTGTGTTCTCCCATCACCTGCTCTCTGTATGGTCTATTTAGAACATAAGCTCTGTGGGGCAGATATTATGTTCTCTCTGGCTTGTATAGGCAGAGCATAGTCACAGTCCAGTAACAAGTACTTAACACGTTTAATTAGTGAGGGCCTGGTGTCTCTAATCTAGGTCTCTTATGTTGTGTTGTAATCTTTCATCTTGCCTTTCTACCAAATATAAGCCATTTCTACAACTGTAGTGTGAAAAATCTTTATCTTTCAGTTGTCCTGCACATATGTATTCCAGTTTCTCTGACATTGTTACTGCTAGCAAAATAGGCTGAGAGTTGGCGTGAACTAAGCACTTGATACTAACCAAGCTATCTGTATCTCAGATTTCATAGAGCTCTGAGATGCACTTCGTGATAGCTGGGTCTGAGAAGTGCAACATCAAAACAAACAGCCATGCAGTATTTAAGCTCACTGTGTGGAGGATCACACTGGGTTATAACTCAGAGGCACAGATGTATTTTTAGCACATTCCACGTGGTGAAATGAGGCTGTAAAGTTTTCGTGAAGTTTCACTGCTTTGCATCAGTATATGATGATGTTTGCATCTTTGCAAAGTGGATGCAAAATGCTAATAATGTTTTTACACTGAGTTCGAACAGTTACAAATGAACACATAGGATTTGTCCAGTCCCTTGGAACTAGACTAGAGGTGTGAAAAATTCTTAGATTAGTTCTTATGGCACTGAACGTTACAAGAGGCTTTACTCATGGGGATCAAAATGTTCACATCTGGTTCTGTTCACCCAGTTGGAGGGAGTTACTGGGAGGAGACGGAAGCTCCGTATACTTTTTGCATGATAAAACATGGGATCACAGAATTCAGTAGCACAAAAATAGTGAATACTGGAAAAGCAAATAGGGAATTGTATCTCATGAGTAAGGCACTTTTAGAACTGGTATAAGAGGTTTGGGGAGTCATAAAAGATACTAACCAAATATCTCCAAGCAAATTATTAAAGGAATAAGGTGGACGCAAGGCAACATTCACAAAGGAATATGTAGATAAAATGATGAGGTCTTCAGAAGATTTTCTATTAAATAGGGAGATAACCAAACAAATCAGAATCTTTTCAGCTTTTCAAGGAAAAGATACTAGCTAGAGGAGCTAACAACAATGGGAAGTGTTGTTTAAAATATACATGATGTTGGTTTTAAGGTAAGATAGTTAAATCGTGCTTCAGGAATGGCTGAGAAATCTGACTCCGTTTTAAATTCTACCCTATCAGAATTTATATTTGTCAACTTGGGGTTAAAGAAAAGTTAATGCCAACTGCAATTCATAAGGTACAAATAAGAGAATATATGGGGAATGTGAGCAAAGACTAATTGTTGGATCCAGGTGACCTAATCTGTAGGTGGCTAGAATACAGAAACTGATAACATAGTTTTGGCAGTGCTTGACATCTCATGAAGTAATACGCCAAAAACTTGTTCAAAGTGGCCTAGATATGAGCACCTTCTTGTTGACTGAAAGCTGGTTATAGGACCAGTTATGAAGGGATTTGTGATAAATAAAAATGTGTGGTATTAGAGAGAGGATTTTTTCTGGTCTTCGTTACATCTTTTTGTTAGTGATCTACCAGAGGGAATAAACACTTGGAATTCACTAAATATTCATTACTGAATACTAAATTGTGAGAAGCTGGAAGTAGGAGGAGGCTAGAGAGATGCAGATTAGAGGGACAGAAATGGAGACTGGAACATGAAATTCAGCTCAGAAAAATGTAGGTTAATACATTTGGGGCAAATCAATTTGAAATAAAAATTCAATGGGGAAGAGTAATCTGAAAAGCAGATTACTGCCGAAAGAACTTTAAAGGTTATACTAGACAGCTAATTAGGCATGGTTTCACAAAGTGATTTTGTAGAAAATGAGGCCATGTAATGTGTTTGTGTAAATAAGGCATGAAACTAGAAATCAAGATACATGTGGTCATGTTCTGTGTTCTGCTTCCTGCTTGTTGTATGATTTAGTGCATTGTCACAGAATGAATGGGATGGAGTTATCTGTTTCTTCCCCCTGCAAAAATAGGACTTTAGGATATGATTGTACCTGGAACATGGATATGTTGCAGGCACTATCATTAATAATGAAACTGGCAATCTGGGTAGCAAAAAGAGGAATTTAAGAGTGGGAGTGGGATGAAGGATTAAGCCTTCTCCAGTTTTATATTCCTATATTAAGGAATGATTCTAGGAACAACTTGACTTACAAAAAATGGTAACATTTGTGCAGATGAATTGGAGTGTTAAGTGTTTGGCATATGAGACTCCAAAATTCAGTAGAAAGCTAAGAGCTGCCCAGCTGAGATCTCATTAATTAAGAAGCTGCTTCGCACACAAGATGATATTAACTTGCTCCCTTTAGGATGCCATCACCTTGTAACATCCTGTGGTTAGGAGGGATTATTTACTGAAATTTGAAAAAAATCCCTTAAAGCAGAAGTCGTGACCTGTGGCCTGCAGGCTGATGCAGCCTGCAAAATGATCCAGTATGGCCTGCAAAGGCTTAATATGGCATGGGGAAGCCAGTGGTACAGAGATGCACTGTTCTGCATATCCTCACTGCAGTGTTCCCGCCACTGCAGAGCCTGCTGCTCTACCACATCTGTGCTCACCCTTCTGCAGAGGGGCTAGAGATCAGCAGTGAGGGTAAGTGCAAGAAGCTGACAGCTCCAGGGGGTGGAGGCTTGGGGCCCATGGTGCCTCCTTAAATATCGACTATCAATATCAACCCCCAAAATCTCTGTCAGTGCACCCCTGCTGTTTAGTATTTCCATATTTCAGTTTTGGCAACAGAGAAGTTCTTGTGCTGGTGCCACTTGTTAATGGAATTGCGCTCTGTGGACATTAGGGTATTGAATCTTGGAACTTGTTTCTTTGTGTTTTTTTAGGATTTATATAAAGGGGGTTTCTCAAATACCCAACTTTAACCCACTGAAATAAGACTTTATTCACGTTTACACCATGGAACTAGAATTCATTAAGAAGAGGAAAGCTCAAACGAATTCTAGAATAGATCAGTACTAGGATAAACCAGCTAATTGGAGTAGCTAGCTACAGAATGCTGTTGTTGAAAATGAAGACATAAATCTATGCTGAAAGCTCTGGCCTCGTAAACAGAGATTATAACAGAGTCAGTAAATTTCTTTCATCTTTAGTTGCTGAGGTTCTACAAAGGATGATGCTTGAGTTGTTTAATAAATTCAAGACAAAATTGAAAAATCAAACAGGCTTTAGTGTATAAAGTCCGTGTATTATTCAGTGTGTAATACTTTTCTACTAGGGTATTAAAGATTGTCTGATTAGGGTGGGTTTTCCTTTGTTTGCTTTATTTTCTAAAGTCTGTTTTTAGGAAGATCGGGGAGACTGCATGCATCTGATAAGGTAATGCTGCTATTTATTTGATATTCTACCTCAGAAACTGATCATTGATGAGAAGAAGTATTATCTGTTTGGGAGAAACCCTGATCTGTGCGATTTTACCATTGATCACCAGTCCTGCTCTCGGGTCCATGCTGCTTTGGTCTATCACAAACATCTTAAAAGGGTTTTCCTCATAGATCTTAACAGCAGTAAGTAACTTAAAGTTTAACCAGGGACAGTGTGGGGTGGTTTGTTTGTAAGTTGGATTTCAAAGTTCTTCTGAAGAATGTTTGTGTGTGAAAGAAGATTGAATGACAGAAATCTTGTCGCTCAGTAGAAAATTTATATCCGAGTACCAAAATATTCTTGAATGTCCACAGAGCCATGGTGTTTTCCATTTGCACGTACCAGGTGCTAGGTGATGACATTCTGGATCAGGATCCTGAGACTAGGTCAAGCTGGGGCTGAATAATGCTTATATATTCAGCTGGGTCTGAATAATGCTTGTATTACTCATGTGACCCCTTTCTCATCCAGCACTAAATGGACAATTTTCTAGGCTCTGGAATAGTTGAAGGAGAGGAAGAAGTTTCCTGGTTTCCTTCTTAACTACATCAGAAGTGTCTTCATAATTCTCATGGAAAGGGCTTTACCATTCAGTAGGGCAGTTTTCCAAAAGCTGGAGCCCAGGGGAGGTCTGTTCTCTATCAAAAGGGTGGATATAGGTGGGTTACCGTAGAAGTTAAAGGAATCCTGCAGTGGAATGGCACTTGTCACTTCTACTCCTGACTTGTTGGGAAGAGCTGACACTTCATAGTCTGGGTGTTTGTCCGGTGCTTGAATGAAAGAGTTTGCTGTATGATGTTACCTCAGTGACAGACAACTCAAGGCACAGGTGCTGAATTTCTCGATAGCTAAGCTGGAATGTTGTAAATCCCAGGCACCTCCGTGACAGCTAATGAACCGTTTCTTTTCCATTCTGATGTTCTCTTCAGCACATGGTACATTCTTGGGTCATATACGTTTGGAACCTCACAAACCCCAGCAGATTCCCATTGACTCCACGGTTTCATTTGGTGCCTCTACACGAGCATACACTCTACGAGAGAAGCCTCAGACACTGCCATCAGCAGTTAAAGGAGATGAGAAGATGGGCGGTGAAGATGAGGAGCTCAAAGGCTTGCTGGGCCTGCCAGAGGAAGAGACAGAGCTTGATGTGAGCGCTGCAGAATATTGAGATTCTAGATGGGGTGGGCAGTTATTTGGACCCAAGGGCCACGTATAGAGTTATGTTATGCTGAGCTGTCACAGGCTGGGTCAGCACCCTCTCACCACCCCCGTGGGGTTTTGGGTGGGCAGGGAGCCATTTTTAGGAGTGGGGCAGGTGAAGCCAAGATCATTAGGCTAGGTCACAGGGTGGTGACAGCTCAGGGCAGGGGCCCGGGCTGAGCTGCGGTCTGCTCCCTGCCTGTTCCTGCCCTGTGATGGGGTGTGTATGGGAGTGAGAGACGTGTTGTGGGGGGAGCTGCCTTGGCATTAGGTCCTGGGAGCCAGCCAGGTGTGAGGGGAGGGGAGGGACCGGGAGGCAGGGGGCACGTGCACAAGAGCCCGCCTGGGTGACAGGGTCTGGCTGTTCCCACGGTACTCTACATGGGATTGAGCCCTACCTGGGGCAGCCCGTGTTGCAGGCCCCCTGGCCTGGCCCTGGCCAGTGCACAGCTTCTGGTGGGTCTATTCCCCATGTGGCTGCAGCCAGCTGGGTGCTGCTCTGCTCCCCTCACTTCCAGCAGGAGCCACCTGGCTGAAGCTTCTCCTACCTGCCCACCCATAGCAGTGCAGCAGGGAGCAGGATGGAGGTGAGGGGAGCAGAGCAGCTGCTCTTCACATTGGGTGGGCAGAGTTGGTGGAAGGCAGCCAGGAACTGAAGCTGGAGCCCCATGCACTGAGGCAAGAGCTTCCCATCTGAACCTCCCCCTCTACTCCGAGGGGCAAGAGGAGGAGCCGTCAGTGGAGTCAAGAGGAATAGAACAGCCCTGCCAGCCTGCGCCCTGGCCAGCACACTTAGCTTGCAGCATGGCGGTTCCTGGTGCAGCTGCAGCTGGCCAGGTGCTGTTCTGCTCCCCTTGCCTCCAGCGGCAGCTCCTCCTCCCACTCCTGCCCCTGCTGCACTGCTCCAAGTGGATAGAGGGGAAGCTTCAGCTGGGCGTTTCCTGCTAGAGGCAAGGGGAGCAGAGCAGCACTGGGAACAGCCCCACCAGAAGCTGCACACACTGGTCAGGGCTTGGGCCAGCGGGCGCAGGCAGGAATATGGCACAGGTGCCCAGCTGCAGGTCAGATCCAGTCGATTGGCAGGCTGTATCTGGCCCACACGCCATTTTTTGCCCACCCCTGTTCTAGGTGGATGATATTCTTGTCCTTTAGTTAGTGAGATTGGGTCTCTACATTTCCTGGTCTTGAAGGTTGTTTAAGAGGCGTTTGCTGCTGGTAAGCATTCACAAGCTATCTCATTCCACAACAGCAGGCTTGTCTTTGTGCTGCTTTCCAGGAGTCCTTGTGTCAGGCCTTGGACGTTTGCTCACAAACACCCAATCATGCCCTTTTACCAAGTCAATAGCAGTTTCCCAACCCTATTGCTCATGCTATCAGGAGCCATTGTAGCCTTATCACCTGCATTCAGCTAGTGGAGATCAGGCTGACAGTGGGGCAGAGAACAGTGCATTGATGCTGGCCCTCATACCTTTTCTTCATTTGATGCTGTGTTTTGCTGTTAACTAGCACAGTTGCATGGTTAGATTTGCATACATTACAGCCATACCAACCATTTATTCCATGAATGTTTCCTTAGAACCTGACAGAGTTCAACACAGCCCATAACAAGAGAATTTCAACTCTTACCATAGAAGAAGGGAACTTGGACATCCAGAGACCAAAGAGAAAACGGAAGAACTCAAGAGTGACATTCAGTGATGATGATGAGATAATCAATCCGGGTGAGTTTGCCTTTCTCTCCTCAAAACTCGAGAGTGCTTCTCTACCCCAGTAGGATTCCTATGACAAGCAAGTTAATAGGAAAGTGCTGCCACCACTCCCTATTCTGCGTGCAGTCACATCACGCTCCCCCACGCCGCCATGGCCCCCCCCGGCCTCAGATAGCCAGAATTTTTACATAACTGGCACCTGGCATTGCCCACTCATGCCAGATAACAGGGATTTTACTGTAGTAGATTTTGGCGATTTCTCACTAACTTCTTCGGACTGCCCCTTGGGTCCTTCATGAACTAGTCATTACCACTTCAACTGTTAGGCAGTAAGAGTAGCACAAAGTACCTTGTTTCTCATTTGAGGATTTTGGCTATGTGTTGAAGCCATGGAAAAAAATAAAATTTAAGCATAATCAGGTAGCCTGACCCCAGAAGGTCTGCAACAGACCCTCCCAACTTCAAACCCAGGAGACAGTGTTTGGTGCTACCACTAGATGGCCCCACCAGTACATTTTAGTTCATCTACCTGTAGATTTGCCTGACCACACACAACTCTTAGAATCCCAGCTTCATAAAGAGAAGGTACTAATTTGTTATAAATCCCCTTATGTGCCATATGCTAACTGTTTCCAGCTTTTTTACTGAATGTGTCATTCTTACAGAGGATGTGGACCCCTCCGTTGGGCGTTTCAGAAACATGGTACAGACAGCAGTAGTCCCAGTTAAGGTAAAGAATCATTTCTAAAGCTATCAACAAGAAACTACAGTGGTAGTCCATAATTCCTGTATGAATTGTTCTCTTAAAAGTAGCTGCCTATTTACCTCCAGTTACCTTGGTTAAAAGAAGTGTCAGGACTGTAAGTTCAAGTTTAGGCCGTTTTACAAAATGTTAGATCAGTAGAAATTTGTCCTTAAAATGCCTTTTGGCTTAGTGGTAAATGGCAAAAAACAAGTAGGAAATATTGATCAATTTCCAGTGTGGTGAAAGTGCTAGAATAAAGGTGGCCAACCCACCACACACGTGCTACAAGTAGCACAGGCAGCTGTTGCATGATACATGAGGCCTAGGTGCTCAGTAAAAAGATGCTGGAATTGGAGGCAAAGGGGCTTGAGATTGATGCGAGAGGGAGTGTCAGGTGTCACCATCCAGAGCCAAGATAACCATTTCCACACTCAACAGCTGTCAACAAATTCAGGGCTTTGGATCTTTGCTTGCCATATAAAGCTGTAGTGATTGCCAGGCCAGGGAATGGTTAACCTAGCTCTTGGCAGCGATGCTTTTTCTCCAAGCATCTGGAGGCTTGAGTCCCCTTGCCTGCAGTCCAGCACCCCAAGGTAAAATCTATCAGGTACACCTCTAAGGGGGGCAGATATCAAATCAGCTGTCAGGGAGGGATGAGAGTTTAATTTGTGGCATGCACTGCTGTGCTAGAAGGTTATAGATGGGATCTGGAATAACTTATTCTATTGTTAAATACTAAATAATTCTTTAAATACTTTATTCTGTCCAACTGCAGAAAAAACGGATGGAAAACTCGGGCTCACTGACCACAGATGAATCTTCAACACGGCGCATGCAAAACTTCCCCTACAGTGGAGGATTATATGGTGGCTTACCTCCCACCCACAATGAGGCAGGTTCCCAGTCGCATGGCGTTCATGGGACAGCACTGATTGGAGGCCTGCCCATGCCGTACCCTAATCTAGCCCCTGATGTGGACTTGACTCCCGTTGTGCCATCAACAGTTAACATGAACCCTGCCCCGAACCCTGCTGTCTTTAATCCTGAAGCTGTGAATGAACCCAAGAAAAAGAAATATGCAAAGGAGGCCTGGCCAGGCAAGAAGCCTACCCCTTCTCTACTGATCTGAGATGGGCTTCGTTTGGGGGCGGGGGGTGATGAACTCAAGAAACTGTTTGTGTGCAGTATCGTCTTTTTTAAATTTGTGTCCTAACTGCACGTAATATCCAGAACGGAAGGGTGATTTATCCCTTAAAGATCTGTCTTCAGAACATTTTTTATATGAATGTAAAAATATATATCCCACCTACTTTTGAACCAAATTGTCTAGCAGCCTTTTCTCTTTGCCATTAATTTAGGGATAAACTTCAGAGTCAATAAGCCTGGTGAGAATAAAGGGATAGTGTCAAGTAATTTAGGCCTCAGACGTTTAACATGATCCTGCAAACACACAAGACTAGGTGTAGTGCTTATACTGTGAGTAACTTGACTCCAGTTATAGTATTCATAGTAATTCACACTACTTCAGAAGTCAGTGCTTGCAGGGTCAAGCCTAAATTCAATACTTAATCAGGTCATTAGGAGTAAAATTAAACAATTACTAAATGTAATAAGTAGAATAACTTTCATTTTTACTTTTACAAAACCTTACGACAGGTTTCTGTTTGAGTGCAAGCATTCTCTTGTTGTATTTGCCATCTTGAACATGGGCACATCTAGTGCCCTCACAAGGACTGAAGATGTGGACAGAAAAGTAAAACTGAAACGAACTAGACAGTTTTCTCTAAACATTCTGTTAAACCTGAAAAGCAAATAGCAAAGAAATGGCAAATACCATTGTTGTAACAGCCGTCATAACACACATAAGGACATATATGAACCTTTCAACACAAGTAAAATATCCTTTTTTGTTTGTCTGTGTCTGGGAGGGGACCCTTTAAACTGACAATCATAGAGCATGAGAGGCATGACAGAGTTTGTGAAAAATAGTCAGCAGCATTGGATTGTTCTCATAGTTTCTATGTCGTCTTTAATAACTAAAACCATATGCAATTTTCTACATTGTTGTCCTTTTCCTTGTTAAAAATGAGGGATGGGTTGGGGAAAAAAGCTAGAATATTTCTAAAGTGAACCCAGTTTTCTGATGAAAATTAAGTGCATCTGAACCAAATCAGTTTTCCTAGTTTGGGTGTGCGGCACTCCATGGTTTGATATGAGTGTTCTTTCATTTCAAACAAAGTGGGAATTTTGAGTTGGATACTCCCGCTAGCCCCACAAAGCCTAGGTTCCCAAAACTGTATGAATGCATTCGTATATTATTTTGTATTTTAAATATTTGTGGCCAGAGTCTTTGTATCATTTAGCATAGCATAGCTCAAGTACTTACTCAAAGTACTATTTGGGGAATTCCTCCAGGTTATGTGCACTTAAACATAACTATCCTCTCCCAGAAGTCCACCAGTGCAGGTAGCTGCTTGGCAAGCTAGTATTTTGAAAATGTAACCGCCATCAGAGAGACTGTTCTTTAATGTATCCCATCTGGTTGTACACTCTTGTATTCTTTTGGACGGCTGTTCCAAAAATCAATATGGCTTTTGCTTCTGTAAACTACAGAATGAAAACTTCTGTCATGATATATGTATAAAAATGAGCTGGTAATCCAGGATTGGGTTGATGTTCCTCTCTGTTCCTCCCTCCCTCTCTCTCTCTGTTCCTCCCTCTCTGCCCCCACCCCCCTCC